GAAAAGCATCACTTGAGGTTATAGGGCCCCTCTGACACTAGTAATACTATCTGTTCCGAGCTGGTCGCATCCAGCTGAGGTTTGGGTTGGTTTTTTTTTTTTTTTTTTTTTTTGTTTTCGCTCTGCTAGTTTTAACTTGAAGGCATTGCTTCAGCCTCCAGAACTGACCCCAGGAGATCTCAATCTCACCCCAGTCTACAGCTGGGATGCCTTCGAAGCAACCGGTGTCATTTAAGCATGCAGCAGCGTCATCTCGTCGGAAAGGTAATCAGGGATAAGTGCTCCTGTAAAGTAATAAATTATCAGCCTGGCATGCACAGGACCAAAGCACGTGGTGCTGTGCTGTTGGGAACCAACGCTGAGTACCTGCACCCTCACATCCAGTTGCTTTCACATGAGAATGGATAAATACCGATTTTTATTTTTCCGTTGATCATCCGAGCCACTCTCGAGGGGTTTAAAAGCCCACACGGTACCCCAGAGCGGGCGGTAGGTGTACGTTGTACCCACCTCACCCACCCACGCCGCTATTTGCGTCACCGCCAGCACAAGCCAGGTCCACAGGCTTGCACCCTCACATTAAAGCTGTGGACACAAACAGGACCAACAGCCCAAGGAGTAACCAAGCCCAGGATCTCCTGTGCCGCTGCTGCGACGCAAGGGGCACGGAGCTGGAAACAGGTTCAGCTCCGTTTCATGCGTGATAAGTTTATCACGGTGTGAAGGATGATGATTTGCTATGAGCTACGCAGTGCTTACCCCCTATCTGAAGCCAGCAAGCTCCTCCAGGAGCCTCACCCCCTGTTGTTAACCAGCCAAGAAATACTTCTCCACCTACTTAGATTAATCCTCATTGCATAAGGCAAGAGCGCACCAAAAACCGCAAGCGTCCTGGTAGTCCTGGTTTCAGCTTGGGCACAAGAAGCAACACCAGAAGTCACAGCTTCAGGTTCCTCAGGTTAACTGCTGTTTGTAGACCAGTGCCGTCTTTATGAGTGTTGTCAGGGTTGGGGGGGAGGACCCAGGCTTCCCACTGCCAGAAGTGCAGGCATAGTCATAGAATCATAGAATGTTTTGGGTGGGAAGGGACCCCCAGAGGTCACCCAGCCCAACCCCCCTGCAGGAGCAGGGACACCTTGAACCACATCAGGTTGCTCACAGCCCTGGCCAACCTGGCCTGGAATGGTCCCAGGGATGGGGCCTTCACCCCCTCTCTGGGCAACCCCTGCCAGGCTTTCACCACCCTCACGGCAAACAATTTCTTCCTTGGA